ATATATGTATCTATGTATATGTATGTTTAAAGATATATATATATATATGTTTGAGCGTGCGTATGGTGTATGTGTATCAAATTGAGTACACATATATGTTTCTGTATGTGTCATATGTGTGTGTATTCTTACTGACGATATTCACATACACTTCTCAGGTACGGCTGTGCTCCAAATGCTCGCGAAAGCTGAACTATAAAGCCACAAAGAGGAAAGCAAAACAGCAGAAAAGACAATTGTCTGAAGATAAGAGGAATGACCGAAGACACAGCAATGACCCAAAGTCTGGGGGAAGTTGGAGGGTATATATGTGCGTCTTTGACCTGATTGAAAAATGCTGTCAACTGTACGTATGCGTTGCTATCTAAGTTATAGTGTGCGTGTTCATGAATGTTTTGTATACGCACAGGCATAGATTTTGACCCACATCCACATGTTGACATGAGTATGACATCATTACTGCTCATAGTTGTACCATTCTAGTTCCTAATCAACAACTAAATGGCAGAGGATATGGTATTTGGCAATGAGACTGAGATGGCAGGATCTTCTCGAATGTTCGTGATCCAATTATACACACGTTATTACCCAAATTTACACACCTGTTCCCAATTCCACCTCAGGGTGACCGGCGATATAGTGATATACAGTGACAATAATGGTTCCACATAAAGTAACAAGTATGCGAATCCTCTGTAACATCCATTGCCCAAATCTACACACCCATTCCCAATTTTTGTCTCAGGGTGACGAACGTGACAATGACTCACAAAGGGACAGTGAGAGGGAACAAGTCAAAAGACCAAGAGATGGATCGCGTGACGAAGGCAGCGATGAGGTGAGTACTGCGCATGTGCTAAAGGAACGGAACGGTGTTTTGTTGATTGATGGATAAACGCGTACTACACTTACATGCACGTGTAAGGCCATTTAATTTCAAACTATTCCATTTGATCGTATTAGTAATTTAACGGCCAAGACACCCTGGTAATTGTTCTCTAGTGAATGGCGGGAGGGAGATCTATGTACTACAGCTATGTTGTACCTTGTTATTCGTCTTTTTCTGAATGATCAATAATCACCTATTCGTCCGTCTTCCAGGGTTGCGATGCGGATGTCAAGAGATTAAAAGCAAAACACAAAGCACCCACCAAGTCTGGTAGGTCTCCCTCGCTCTCTGATAGTGATGGCGATGGCGACAGTGTCGACAATGCGAAGGCTACAGCGAGCAATGTGTGGCAGAAGGGCCGAGATAAAGACCAAGACGAGCTCAGAGAGGAAGAGATGGATGACTACTTGCAGGACCTGTTCTTTTGAGCTATGTATAGTATGTCTGTTCATCTAACTGTATTGATATGTGTATGTGTTTACGTGACATCATGTATACATGTCTACATACACACATAAGGCACAAGTTCACGCCGACGCGGTGAAGTGAGTGAAAAAATAACAACAGATTCTCTCCGGGTGTCTTGTGCTAAGAACGTCAATGTGAACCACGTAGGAAATCATGCCGGCGAGAGTATGAAGATTGCGCACATACACTCATATATATATATATATATATATATATACAATATATATATATATACACACACACACACATATATATATTATATATATATATATATATATAGTATATATATATTAATATATATATATGTGTGTGTGTGTATATATATATATATATATATATATAGATACATATATATATATATATATATATTGTATTAGAAGATACCAACCATATAAATGTATGTATTGTATTAGAAGATATTAACCATATATACATATATATATTGTATTAGAAGTTGCTAACCATGTACATATATTCTGTATCTGAGCTGGCAAGTAGGCTGCAGCTATTTTGTGTATTAGTTATATTAAATTTCATGAACCGAACATCACCGCCACCACATACTCCCTGTCAATGAACACCACCACCACCACACACTCCAATGTGGCTACTTTTGGGTGGTATCACATACTACTATACCACTCGACAAGACGAGTGTTAACTATGACAGCTCAACAATACGTGTGTTACCTATGGCAGGATTTGGAGCGCGATCAGGGAATGTCCATGTTTAACGCTGTCGCTGAATAACAGCCAGCCAGGCTCATAAGCGGACAACGGGATAGAAGAAGATGTAGCGGTTGCTATGGATACTGCTGCGATATAGTTCAAACACCAGGCCTGTCGCATAATATGCCCTGCAGAAGTAACCATGGCAACTGCGTGCATACGAACATCTATACCTAAACCCAATTCGGCATTTAGTACAAATCGGATGGCCCCAGTTCAGCAAAGGTTGTGCTGATGTCAATTTGGATGCGCCAGAATCAACACTTTTAAAAGACTAATCTCATGTTTGTTTGAGAGTGATTAAAAAGCAACCATTCAGGACCATGCGGCTTTCATAGTACCTATCTGTGTTCAGGTTTTTCATCCTGAAGAAGTCTAATCGTGTACGAAGGTGTCTGTATGCTTGGATATATATATCGCTCAAAATAAAAAATGCATCT